ACACACAGACACCAAACACCACACACACACACAGACATGCACACACACAGAATCTCACACAGACACACAGACATACCACACACACACACACACACACACAACAAACACCACACACACAAAAACAGACACACACAAACCACATTTATACAAACAAAACAAAACACTTAACATTGACCACACACATCAAACGCCATACACACAACACACAAATGCACAACAAACATCACACACTAAAAACACACACAACACAAACCATACACATATACACACGCAATACATGCACGCAAAAACACAAACACTCAACATATGCCATGCACACAAACATGACCCCTGCACATTTATTGTGAAATAACTACATTTAATTTAATTAATGCTTCTCTCTATGTTTCCTTTCTAGATACCCAGGGAAAGAATTAGAATTGAATCTACATCGCACCAGTATGTGGTGTTGGAAGCACAATCATCTGTATTTATCTTGGTGCAAACTATCCTTGTTTCATATCAATTAGGACACATATTTATCCAGACTGATAAACCAATCTACACACCAACTCAGACTGGTAACTACAACTGCACTTTTCCTGATAGCTCTCAAATGCACAAAGAAAGTATGAGTGGGTGGGTGTGAGAAATGGGGTAATGAGGCGGCAGCAAACTGAAGGATGTTGGAAATGGAGGATAAAACTCTGCTCATTTCAGGGCTACCAATGTCTGGATTAAAACCACTGAAGCCAAGTATGTAAACACTTCTTTACACAAACATCTGCAGAAGTTTGGAATTCACTTTCTCAACTAGCAACTGATGCTGGATCATTTGTTAAACGTAAGACTGAGATTGGTAGAGCTTTGACCATCAAATGTTAATAAACACAAGAATATATGAGATAAGGGCAGGAGTAGGTCACATTGCATCTGAAGCCTGCTACCTTATTCAAACCAATCATTGCTGACATTGTGCGTCACCTCCAATTTTCCACCCTGCCCCCATATCCATTGATTCACCGGCAGACCAAACAAATCTACCTTAACATACTCAGTGATGGAGCATCAGCAATCTTCTGCACCGTGGGTTCAAGGCAGGTATAAAGAGTTAGGTCACAGGTCAGCCGTGATCCGCTTCAAAGTTGAAACAGGCTCAAGGGCCTAAATGACTTCCTCCTGTTCTGATGCTACAGCTACATCCTCTCCACTACCCCATCAGCATAAGGCAGCCTAACCTCAGAACAATGATCTCTATTACAGCAAGGTCATGTTTAAATCTATTGGGTTTTCTGAGTCAGACTGGGGACTTCTGAGTTACACTAGACTAGGGACTGAATTTTCCCAGAAGCCAGCTGAGTGCCAATGCTGTGGAGGGTTTCTCTCTGGCGATGATCTCTCATAATTGAATGCTCCTCAACTCACAATATGAGCATTGGGCCCCCACACCGTGAGGCGCTCACGCCTTCTTGCGTCCACCAGCCGTGGAAGTACTTGCCATTGTCAGAACCTTTGAGGATTCCCACTCGCTGGCAGTACCACACCTAAAGGCCAGCAGTGTGCCAGGTCAATTGGTGCCAGCCACAAACTGCACTTCATGTTTGTGGCTGCAGTTGGCATCCAATTTACTGGCAGTGACTTGGAAACAGAGCAATGTACAGTGCAGGTCTTGGTAGGTGGGGCTGTGGATAGGGAGGACTGTCCTATTTCCTCAGGTTAGAGGAGACCACGGCACCAAATCCTGCCAGCTTGGTCTGAAGTTGCCACCCCGTTCAGCATGGTATACATGCCCCCGGGAGCAGCAATGCAGGGAGAAGGTTTGTGATCTTCTGCTCTCTGCCTGGATAACTGACACTATCTTCTGTCTGCTCCCTCACACTCAGTCTATCTCTGCTACCGCACTTACCTCCCATCGAGGTTCACGCTGTGCCACCCACACTATTGCACTCAGCATCCTCCCTCACCCACTCTAACTCCCCTCTCCCCACCACACGCCCCCAAACAATCAGAATACGTTGCATTTTAGATATGCTGGACAATATTCCCTGATCCCTGCCAGTGGACAGAGTACAGCATCACTGCCCTTCTCACATCTCCATGGACTTCCACAGAAACTGAGTGACTGTAGCTTCCCTGTATCATCACCCCACCTTGCAGTCTCTCCCCAGCCATAAGCCCCAGATGAGGGGATGGCTGCACATCCACTGGAAGTTGATGCTGGTCCCGGGCTTCCGGATGCATGTGCTCCTCATCCAGTCATGTGGCAGCTCTTCATAGAATCATAGACTGTGGAAGCATGCCATTCAGCCCATCGAGTCCACGCTGACCCCCTAACAAACATCCCAAACAGACCCACTTCCCTACCCCATCCCTGTGACACCGCATTTCCCACAGCTAATCTACCCTAACCTGCACATCTTTGGACTGTGGGAGGAAACCGGAGCACCCAGAAGAAACCCACGCAGACACGGGGACTATGTGCAAACACAAACACGCAAGGATGGAATTGAAACTGGGTCCCTGGCACTGTGAGGCATGAACGCCAACCACTGAGACACTGTGGGCACCCTTTCAGTGCAGCCGACACAGCGACGGTCTCGGATTCTGTGTCTGGATCCATTGGGGATGGCTCCAATGAACCTGTATGCACAAGATGAGAAACAGGGCAGCTCCTCAGTAATGTGATCAGTGGCTCAGTGGTTAGCATTGTAGCCTCACAGTGCTAGGGACTTGGGTTCAATTCCAGCCTTGGACGACTGTCTGTGGGAGTTTGCACATTCTCTCCGTGTCTGCGTGGGTTTCCTCTGGGCGCTCCGGTTTCCTCCCACAGTTCAAAGATGTGCAGGCTAGGTGGATTGGCTATGCTAAATTGCCTGTAGTGTTCAGGGATGTGTGGGTTATAGGGGGATGGGTCTGGGTGGGATGCTCCAAGGGTCGGTGTGGACTTGTTGGGCCGAAGGGCCTGTTTCCACACTGTAGGGATTCTATGATTCTATAAGCAGTTACAGCCACACAAATAAAATTCACTCACTGTCCTCCGAAGACAGGGAGCCCAGTGGGATCCCTCTACATGGACGTTGCAAATCATCATATTCATTAGTCTTTCATGACACTGTTACTAAAGAAGAAAAGCTGCATCTCAGTTTATTGTGAAAGCGTAAATGTAAATTAATAGCTGTTCCCTTTCTCTCTAGTTCGTTACCGTTTGTTTTCTGTGAACAATGAAATGAAGCCCACCAACATAGACGCCTTTGTTGATTTTGTGGTAATGTATATTATCATGTGTAACAAAAAAAATCTTTTGGCTCATGCATCACACAGTGTAATTTGGAGCTCCTTCGTATCTCAGTTTGTAAAGATACCGTCCACAATGGAGCTGCGTCAGATGGGTGTGTGCACAAATCTCTGATGTGGGGGTGCCGGTGTTGCACTGGGGTGGATAAGGTCAAAAATCACACGACACCAGATTATAGTCCAACAGGTTTATTTGAAAACACAAGCTTTTGGGAGCTTGCTCCTTCTTCAGGTGTTAGTGAGAGAGATGGCATCAGATGCAGAATTTATAAGTAAACTATCAAAGGGTCATTGAACTGATGCGAATGTATTCCAAAGATGGCTGTTAAATCTTTAATCAGTTAGAAAGGAGATGCACGTTTTGATTGATTATATTGAAGCCTGCATCTCTTTTTGTGTCAGTTTTGCACCAGATATATTTGCATCAGTTCTCTGACCCTTTGATCTTTTACTTATGAATTCTGTGTCTGATGCCACCTCTCTCACTAACGCCTGAAGAAGGAGCGAGCTTCCAAAAGCTTGTGTTTTCAAATAAACCTGTCGGACTATAACCTGGTGTCGTGTGATTTTTGACCTCAAATCTCTGGAAAGAGCTGGGCACACTGACTTCAACCAGAATCACAATAACCATATGCATTTAGGTAGTACCTTTAATGATCCTAAGAACTTCGCTGGAATTTTATAAAATGAAATGTGGTGTAAAATCCACATGAGGGAGTGTTAGGAATGAAAACGGAAAGTGCCGGAAATACTCAGCAAGTCTGGCAGCATCTTTGGAAAAGAGAGAGACAGAGTTAATACTTCCAGTCCAATATGATGTTCTGAAGAGTCATATTAGAGTCAAGGCATTATGTCTGTTTTTCCCACCATGGATGCCTCCAGACCTGCTGAGTATTTCCAGCACAAAAGCAGACATAGCTGGAGGATTTATGGTAACTGGCATGGTGACAAGACAATGGTGTGGAAGCCTATGGTCATAGATTGACTGCGTCATTGGATTTATCAGTTGAAGTCAAGCACGAGGGTTGCACTGTTCATAATTCTTGTTTTGTTGAACCACAAGAAAGAAGGATTGTTTTTTCATAGCTAACATTACGAACAAAGCTGTTAAAATAGTACTTGTGAATTCCCACAAAACAGTGAGTGGAAGAAATGATCTCTCTTCAGCATCTGAAACTTAAATTAGGGTGAGCTGGTACTCAGGGACGTCACTTTTAGTTGAATACACAGCTGACTTTTGGCATTGCGTTCTGTGTCTTAAAGAAACAGATTTATTGCTGATTTTAAAAGTTACGCTTTGCTCTGTCCAATATATTGAACTGTCTGGGCTGTGTTCTAGAAGAGCTTTTAATTAACTCAGTTGGCTGCAATAGCTATTGATTACTTCATTCCAGTCGGGACAGAAAATGTTTTGACAACAAATCTATCTTACAGAATCCGCAAGGCGTTATTGTGAAAAGGGTTGAAGAAAGAAGCAGAAGTCCTTCTAGCATAATCGGAAGTACCTTTCCAATTCCCAAGATTGCAAAGTAAGTGCAAAAGATGCATATGGAAGCTTGGTGAAAGAAGCATTTCGTTAATTCACTTAAGGGATGTGGGAATTTGTCCATGCCTATTTGCCCTGGAGAAGATAATGAAAACTATTTGGCATAGGGAGGGAGTTCCAGGATTTTGACCCAGTGACACTGAAAGAACAGCCAGTATATTTCCAAGTCAGGAGAGTGAGTGAGCTTGGAGGAGACCTTACGTGTGGAGGTGTTGCCGTGTATCTACATACTGACCATAATCAGTAAACTAGGAGCACACAAACTCTAACTGTGACACAATTTCACTGGAATAATGGACATGATCTGTTCAGAATTGAACACACTATCAAAAAATATTGTCTTCAATTTTGACTTTTCTGAAATTATTGAGAAAAAAAAATTATTCTGAAATTATTGAGAGGAGAGGTGAGTTCAGAAACTGACTTATGGCGATAATGATCAGACACTACGAGAACAAATCTCTGACGGACCAACTGTGAGAGTGAGGGGAGGATACAGCTGTGGGTCTGAGAGGGAGCAAGTGTGAAAGTGAATGGAGGGTGCATTTTTTTTCCCTTTATTCATGGGATGAGGGTGTTGCTGGCTAGGCAGCATTTATTGCCCATCTCTAGTTGCCCAGAGGGCAGTTCAGAGTCAACCACATTGCTGTGGGTCTGGAGTCACTTGTAGGCCAGACCGGGTAAGGATGGCAGTTTCCCTCCCTAAAAGAGGGTAGTGAACCAGATGGGTTTTTCCAACAATCAACAATGGATTCATGGTCATCATTATACTCTTAATTCAATAATTATTTATTGAATTCAAATTCCACCATCTGCCGTGGCGGGATTTGAACCCAGATCCCCAGAACATTAACTGGGTCTCTGGATTAACAGTCTCCAGTGATAATACCACTAGGCCATGGCTTCACCCTATTGTGGGTCTGAAGGTGCAATGAATCGTTGTAAATATGAGTCTGAGAGAACAGTGTGAGAGCAATGAGTAGATGTAAATATGAGTCCCCATGTCCATGTTTGGTGGTCTGTCTGTTTCATTTCTTTTTGATTCTGTAATAGTATGATGCAACTGAGCGGCTTGCTAGGCTATTTCAGATGACAGGGAGGGATCAACTATATTTTTATGTGGTTTGGCATTGTATATTGGCCAGATAAATAAGGATGTTAATAGATTTCTTTCCCTTTTTTGATGGCAATCATTTTCTGGCCACCCTTCCTGAGACCCCCATTTTAAATCCCAGATGTATCTATTTTACTTCAATGTCACCAGCGGCCTTGGTGAGATTTGAGCATTAACTTGAATCACTGGAGCTCTATGAAATTACCACAGTACTATTGCCTTCACTGGGTGCTCCCTGAGACTCATGGCTAATATTGCTGTATAAAAATGACTAGGACTGTGAAACACAGGAGTGCCAAATATTGAAATTTCAATGATACCAAACTTGGAGGTGTGACTAACAGTGAAAATGCTATGAATTGCTTGTGACAGCAAGTAGTCTAGCAGAAGAAGTGGACAATTTTCAGATGGAATTTAACACAGAAAAGTGTGAGGTGACTGTGACCAGTGGTGTTCCACAGGGATCCGTGTTGGGACCACTGCTGTTTGTGATATACATAAATGATCTGGAGGAAGGTATAGATGGTCTGACTAGCAAACTTGCAGATGACACTAAAATTGGTGGAGTAGCAGATAGTGAAGGGGACTGTCGGAGAATGCAGCAGAATATAGATAGATTGGAGAGTTGGGTGGAGAAATGGCAATTGGAGTTCAATCCAGGCAAATGTGAGATGATGCATTTTGGAAGATCCAATTCAAGAGCGAACTATATGGTAAATGGAAAAGCCCTGGGTTAAATTGATGCACAGAGAGATCTGGGTGTTCAGGTCCATTGTACCCTGAAGGTGGCAACGCAGGTCAATAGAGTGGTCAAGAAGGCATACGGCATGCTTTCATTCATCGGACGGGGTATTGAGTACAAGAGTTGGCAGGTCATGTTACAGTTGTATAGGACTTTGGTTCAACCACATTTGAAATACTGCGTACATTTCTGGTCGCCACATTACCAAAAGGATGTGGATGCTTTGGAGAGGATGCAGAGGAGGTTCACTAGGATGTTGCCTGGTATGGAGGGCGCTAGCTATGAAGAGAAGTTGAGTAGATTAGGATTATTTACATTAGAAAGACGGAGGTTGAGGGGGGACCTGATTGAGGTCTACAAAATCATGCGAGGTATAGACAGGGTGGATAGCAAGAAGCTTTTTCCCAGAGTGGGGGACTCAATTACTAGGGGTCACAATTTCAAGGTGAGAGGGGAAAAGTTTAACGGAGATATGCGTGGAAAGTTCTTTACGCAGAGGGTAGTGTGTGCCTGGAACGCGTTGCCAGCAGAGGTGGTAGAGCCGGGCACGATAGCATCTTTTAAGATGTATCTAGACAGATACATGAATGGGCAGGGAGCAGAGGGATACAGATCCTTGGAAAATAGGTGACAGGTTTAGATAGAGGATCTGGATCGACGCAGGCTTGGAGGGCCGAAGGGCCTGTTCCTGTCCTGTAATTATCTTTGTTCTTTGTTCTTTTGTTCTTTGTGACATATTTTTGCAGAAGTGTTAGGGAGATGTGATATAGGTGAAAGAGAACAATTCTAAAGGGAATGTGGGATCTGAAAGGTCCAGGGTAAATATGGATTGACCTGTTGAAGGTGGCAGAGGGAGAGACTGGTTAGCAAAATATGTGGGACATTGACCTTCGAAAATGAAGGCACTGAGAACTTGGACCTGGGTTTGATTCCAGCCTTAGGTGACTGCCTGTTTGGAGTTTACACATTATCCCCATGTCTGCATGTGTTTCTCCTGGATGTTCCAGTTGCGTCTCACAGTTCAAAGATGCTTATGTTAGATGGTTTAGCTAAACTGCTGCATAGTGTCTAGGAATGTGCAGGTTAGGTGGGTTAATCATGATAAATGTGGGATTACGGGGATGGGTTGGCGGGAATGGGTCTGGGAGCGATGCTATTTGGAGGGTACGTGCAGTCTCAGTGGGCCAAATGATCTCTTTCTTTACTGTAGGGATTCTGTGATTCAATCCTGTTCTGCCATTTATAATGATCATGGTCGATAATTGCTTAACTGATATATTTTCCAGTATTGGAATATGGAAAATCACCGTAAGCTACAGAGAGACCAGCCATGTAAACTACACCACCGCATTTGAAGTGAAGGAATATGGTGAGTAAATTGGTCTATTATTTAACGTAATGGTCTATTATTTCTCTGTTTTGGCTGGTCTCAATAAAATATGTATTTTAAAAGCAAAATATTTCTAGACACATGTTTGAGCAAATCTATTGTAAAGTGATAGTGGTAAAACCTAAGCTGTCCATTTTGGCTTGCACAGTTGTATTTGTGCAAAACTTACTACAGAGTATTTCAATGTATGATGCTGATTCGACTTGCATGATTTTTAGGTTAAAATCAAGATGTTGGGTGAATGTATTTGGTTACATCCCTCAATGATGATGTTCACAGTTCAGGTTTATTGTATTGACTCCCTCCAGCTGAGTGTGGTGACTGGGGAGACATCTAATTCAGTGACAGGGTGGTATTTGGAATGAATACCAGCCATTCTTGTGTATCCTCCTGATGTTGACCCTGTCTGGAAGGTTCATGGTCAGCCTTCATCCAGTCAAAGCCCTTAATTAGTGCTTGCTTAAGGTTGTCATTTCTGCAGCCACGGGTAATAGCTCAGCAACAGAGGGGACTGCCCAGCATCATGGAAAGCATGATAAACAAACACAACAGGTTTCCCGGGACAGTCTCCCAATCGGAGGCATTCAGTGCCTGACTGAGGCAGGCAGCATCAGGAGACAGGATGTCCGCAGAGAGCCACACTCTGCCCTTGCTGATGGCCCTCATCTCTCTGCTCCCACAGCTCCACCCCTGCCACCCCAGACCCCTGCCATCACTCACCCATGACCAAGCACACAATGACGATCATACGATGACTGTCATACCAGCAGCAGCCACTATCTTCCCAGTGGTGCTGCTGCTCGATGCCACTGCTAACCTCTAATCAACATCTCTCGGTAGGTGAAACATCTGCCCCCAGGGTCCTTGCATCTGGAGAAGTCCCTCTGCTGTCAAATGAGGTGATGAGACCCGGTTATCCCCATTAAATCTAGCCTATAGTGTTTGGGTCGATAACAATATTCATAGTTTAATGATAAGGGAATGCCCCCACTAAATAATCCAGAATCTTCTATCTAAAATCTTAATCTGGTCTGATCCTTACTTTGTTCATCCAAAAACTCTTCCAACAGAAACTAATTCCCATTAGCCACCACTAACTCTGTCAGACTGTTTATTGAAAAAAAATCACCTTCTGGCAAATGAAATAATTGCAAGTTAATTATTAAACCCCTTCATACGAAGAGACCAAACCTACACGCCGCTAGTTTAAACATCAAATTCGAAAATAAATGATATTAATATATAGTGCATTTATATAATAAATCACACAAATCACATGCCATGACTGAAGATGAGAATCAGTCAGTAACTATAATATGTTAAATGTTGTTTTAAATTGGCTTGTTTTGATAGTGTTACCGAGTTTTGAAGTTACCCTGGAGTCAAAAGAAAAGTTTTTCTATGTTGATGATACAAAGTTAGATGTTTCAATCACTGCAAGGTTAGTATTCTGCTTTTGGAAATGAGCTTTCCAGAGAGCTTGTTCCAATGACCATTTTAATGGTTCTTTTTTCTCATTTTTAGATTCACTTATGGAAAGCCTGTTGAGGGTCGTGCATTTGTTATGTTTGGAATAATGAAGGATGGTGAAAGGATAGGCATCCCATCATCACTTCAATCAGTAGCTGTAAGTAAAAAGCAAAAGATTCCTGAATATTGCAAATTTGGGATTTACCCAACTATTGGCATATTCATCTGGGTCGGCATCACATTGACAAATGGAAAACCTCGGGTTTGAAGAATTAACTAAGTGGGAAAGTAACTGTTCTATTCATGAAGAAACATTTCAATGGTAAAGGATAATTACATTGAAGTCCTGCAGGCAGTCCCTTGATTGTGAATGGGTTCCATTCTTGAGTCCATTCACAAGTCAATTTGTATGTGAAGGACAATGTAGAATAGTTCTTTGTAAGTACAGAAATTGTTGGCATGTCGGAAATTTAAAATTACATCCCCGTGTGCAACTGTGTTCATAAGTTAAGACGTTCATAAATTGGGGACCCACCACATCGGATTTAAAATCAGGGCTAGAAAGTCAATCACACTGTGCAATGTTTCCAGACTCTAAATATCCAGTGCCCAGTGTGGACTGGACTTCTTTACAGTTACACAGGGTACACAACAGAACATTAGAAAATTATTGAATAATTTATTTGATAGGGTTCTGCACTTATTGTAGGACTATTTCCTGATCTAAAGTATTTAATATCAGATTACAGATGGACGAGGAGCTGCTTCCCTGACAAGCAAAGTTTTGAAAAGCGGCTTTCCCAACATTTATGAGTTTGTGGGATGCTCAATCTATATTACTGCTAGTGTCATAACGCATACAGGTATGTACATTTCATGTAGCTTACTATGGTTAAAGGACAATCTTGTACATGTGATGAAGATATGTAGGCATGATTGAGTATTTAGTATTTATGCTAATGTATACTCATTCCAAATACGTCTGTAACTTTGTGAGAGCAGAACAAACAGGAGCTGGTGTGGGCCTTAATCTTTGTAATTAACTGCACCATTCAATCCTTTCATACTGACCTACTTCAACTCTATTTGTCCTATCCCTGTATTCCTCCTTTACTTTTGCATACCAAAGTTTATCTATCTCTTTCTTGGATATAGAAAGTATTGGCCGTGGTACAGCAATCCCAAAACCTCTTACCTTTTGGAATGAACAAATTTCTCTTCTTCAACAACAAAAACAAAGTTGCTGGAAAAGCTCAGCAGGTCTGGCAGCATCTGCGAAGGAGAAAATAGAGTTAACGTTTCGGGTCCGTGACCCTTCCTCAGAAATTTCTCTTCATCTCAGTCCTAAATGGCAAATCTCATATTCTGATACTTACCAAACCCGAGCAGCAGGTTAATGACTAAATCTGAAATAAAAAGTAGACACTGGTTCTTGGCCCTCTGCACAATGGATAAATATCAACATTATCTCTATTACCAAGCCCCTTGGTAATATGCTTTGGTTGGAGAATACCTATCATTCATAGAATCCCCACAATGCAGATAGAGGCCATTTGGCCCATCAAGTCTGCTTTGACTCTCCAAAGAGCATCCCACTCTATCCCCGTAACTCTGTATGGCTAATCCACCCAGTCTGCACATCCCTGGACACTACGGGGCAATTTAGCATGGCCAATCCACTTAACCTGCACATCTTTGGATTGTGGGAGGAAACCAGACCACCCGGAGGAAACCCACACAGACACAGGGAGAATGTGCAAACTCCACACAGACAGTCACCTAAGGCTGGCATCTAACCTGGGTCCCTGGCACTGTGAGGCAGCAGTGCTAATCACTGAGCCACCGTGCCACCCATCCTTGAAACTTTAGGGGATAGAAAGCCACACAATGTCTCCACAGAGCAATGCTCTTTTGTAATTGGTAACTCTCCACTTGTTGATCCCCTTAATATCCATACAGTCTAGTTATAATCGATGGGCCGGCACAAATGATGGGGGAAGTGTAAATTTCAGTGAATTGCACTCCACAACACCCGATAGTTTTGTTAGCTGCCAATCATTGCATCAGTTGAAGAACTGATTCACAGGGATCAGACTTGGGCTCGCAGAACTAATCATGCTCTCTGGTCAAAATTGCAAGGTTCTCCCACTTGTAAGTTGTCTGCAAATTATGCTATGCTTCTTCAAGATTGTAGGCACATCTAAAAAAGTCTTTTTTTAGTTATTCATTCTTGGGATGTGAGCTCAGCTGGCATGGCTAGCATTTCTTTGCTATCCCTAACCGACTTTGAAAATTAATTGGTGCATTTCCTTTTTGGTTTGTTGCCCATCCTTGTAATGGAGACACACCCACAGGACTTAACAGTTCTGTCAGGGATTTGTTACAGATCAATTGCTTGTTATTCCATATTTGAGGGGATTAAGAGTCATCACACTGTTACAGATCTGAAGTGATGTATCATTCTTCAAAGGAGCTTTGCTATTAATGAGGCTCGCATTTTTATTTCAGATTTATTCATTCACCAAGTTTAAGTTCCCCCAGCTGTGAGGATTGGATTTGAGCTCCTGGCTCTGGATAATAAATCTGGGCTCCTGGATTACTTTTCTATTATCAATGTATCACCACTCTCAGCAAAAGTGGAAAATTTTTATTGTAAAAATGAATATTGAATTTACAAGGAGCCAAATAGTATATCTTTTCAATAGGTCAGCTAGGTTCCTTAAATAATTTTAGTCATTCATGATCAAGTTCAATTGTATTCTCTGTTTATTTTCTGTGGAAGCAGTACATTAGTGGCAATGACTGTGTTCCTTTTCAGTCAACCCATAGCAGAAAGATTTGACTTCCGGTATTTGGTAAATCACTAACTACAATTTTTTTAAACTCCTTTTTGCTTTCTGATTTAGGTACTGACATGGTTGAAGCAGAAAAATTAGGAATAAAAATAGTCACCACCCCATATGCCATATCATTCACCAAGACTTCCAAGTATTACAAGCCTGGAATGCCATTTGATTTAATGGTACAAACCTCTCTATTTACTTCAGTCTTTCTGTCTACTTTTAACTATGTATCCTTACGTAGGAACAAAATAAAGGCTTTTTTTAAAAAAAAAATCTCTTCCTTCTTTATCTGAGGTCTACGTAACAAACCCTGATGGTTCACCAGCCAATGGAATCCCTGTGATGACCAGTGATGGAAAGTATAATTCCAGGACACAAGCTAATGGTCACGCCAGGCTATCAATAAACACAGGTGGAGAGCCAAACACCCTCTCAGTAAAAGTGAGTGCGTTAATAGAGATTCATAGAATGGTGCAGTTCGTTCAGAAAAACACCCAACTTATCACATTCATCTGCCTCTGTTCCACTGGCACTGCAAATTATTTCCCTTCACATATACACTTTTAAATGTTACCAACAGTCTTTCATAAAACGCAGCCCGTATTGTAATTACTCACAGCTCTCATTTCACCTCTGGTGCCTTCAGCAAACACCTCAATTTTCAATCCTCTAGTTACTGACTCTTCTGCCAGTGAAAAGTATCTTCATTATTCACTCTATCAAAACCCTTCATCATTTGAACATATCTATTCAATTTCCGCTTATCTTTCTCTGGTTGAAAGAGAATATTTTAAACTTTATTACATTCTAAAACACTATTACCATGTGGATTTATTTTACAGCCTTTAGGTATTTCACACCTACATTGCATAACAAAAACCAAAAATTGCAAGGGAAACTCAGCAGGTCTGGCAGCGTCTGTGGGAAGAAACCAGAGTTAACGTTTCAAGTCCATTGACTCTTCAGAAGAACATTGCATAATGTTGTTCTTTCAAAAGATAATATGTCGCAAATGCTCTTTATTCATTCACGATGCACGGAACTTATTTTGTTCCTTTTCAGAGAAGGACAAGGAGGGGAGGACAAAGTGGGTGGAGTTCCTCTGTCTCAATGATCTTGGCTGCATATTTTGAGTTTGATGATAATGTCACACCTCAGCAACTGAACACCAAGTTGGGAGAAATTGCTAGATCAGAGGTTTAAAGAGATTTTGAGAGCCTGAAGATTTACAAGGCAGTGCTGATCAACAAGATACCAGCGGAACTGTTGTTGTTGGAAAGAGTAAAACAGAGCTCACTGTTCAATCAGATCTGAACTGTGGAGGATATCCCAGATGACTGGAGGTGAGGGGTAATCATTAAGCTGCCAAAGGTGAGGAATCAATGATCGCAACAAATGAAGAGGCAATCTGTTATGTGTCAAGATCCTGAGCATGGTGCTCCTCAACAGCCTGGAAGCTATTGTGGACAGTACTCCTCATGAAGAACAGGCAGGTTTCCAGGGCTGCAGATCATGCTGTGAGCAGATATTCATGTTCAGCAGCATCATAGAACAGAACCTACACCAGCAGAAGCCACTTGGTGTCCACTCCCTTGATTTTAGGAAGGCTTTCTAAAGCCCATTCACCAGTAACCTCTCTGATATATCACAAGGCATTACTGCATCCCAGAGTGGCCTATTAACATCTTCAAGCAACAACCCCTGCTGCAGCAGTGAAGACCAGCATGGGCATAATCAACTCCTTCAGGATCATTCCAGGAGTACAGAAAAGCTAGATGTATCCCCGTGGCTCTGTCCCTTCGGTTGCACAAGTGAGACTTGTATCCTCTGGAGTTTAGGAGAGTCAGAGTTAACTTAATTGAAACTTAAAAACAATGTCCCTTCTAGCAGTGTGCACTCAGCTGCTCCCAGGTTCCATGCATAGCGATCAATGTCGGCCTGGCATTGGCCTTCTGGTTCGTGAAGTTACTAACACACATGGGCTTCAGAAGCTTGCTCAGCTGGCAAGTAAACTCGAGGGTATTATGGGTATAAGATCCTGAAGGGGTGGACATGGAATTCCTATAGGAGAGTCTAGAATTTGGAGGTCACTGTTTAAAAAGAAGGAACCATCCATTTAAGAGATAATAAGAACTGCTGATGCTGGAGTTAGAGATAACACAGTGTGGAGCTGGAGGAACACAGATTTCTGAAGCAGAGTCCTGACCTGAAACGTCTCTGATGCTGCTTGACCTGCTAAGTTCCTCCAGCTCCACACTGTGTTATAACCATCCATTTAAGACAAGGTTCAGGAAAAATTTTTTTCTTCAAGAGAGTTGTGAGTCTTTGGAATTCCCTTCCTCAAAAGGCAATGGATGCCAAATCTTTAAATATCTTTGAAGGTAAAGTAAGACAGGTTCTTGTTTGCCAAAGCAGATGAAAGGTTGTTGGGGGTATGAAGGAATTGAGAGTTGAGGTTAAAATTACATCAGCCATGATCTTATTGAATAGTGGAGCAGGGCTCAAAGGGCTAAGAGGCCGACTCTTGTTCCTTAGTCGTATGTTGTTAACATTAGGAAGGTAATGACCGGTGCCAACATTGGAATCCTGTGACAACACCATCAATTGTCAGACCTGGACTTCGAAGATGGCATAGGTGAAGTACTGTGTGCTCCAGGGCGGCTATCAGACTTGAGATTCTCAATGCCAAGGTTGGTCTGGTTGGTCTAGGTTGTTCTGCAAGAAGAGCAAGACAATGATGACTGCATGGTAACAAGGTCACAGCATCACCATTGAGCAACAGAGCATTGGGGATGGAGGGGCAAATTACTGCAGGTGGCTGAATCTGTACTGAAAACAAAACAAATGCGGGTCAGGCAGCATCCATAGAGAGAAAGCAAACTAATGTTTCAAGTCTAGATGACACTTTGTCAGAGCATCTTTCGTTTGCAGAATATCGAGGCAGTTGACCATTACTGTATCTCAGAAGCAACATCCTCAAGGACGGTGAGATAGGGTTCAATGCCCACTCAAGAACTGGCAAAGCAGCATCAGTCTTCAATCTCCATAGCCATGAAAATCAGATTCTACATGTGTGTAGTAGAACCAGCTGCAACCTACACAGATGATACAAGACTGAGGGCTGAATGAAGGGGGTGAGTGAGAGCAGGGCTGATTCATCCCTCCTCACCTGATTGCAACACAGCTGAAGAGGCTGTGCTAAAGTATATTTAATAAGTTCCTTCAAGAGTCAGCCACACGATAGGGTTTGGAGCAAAGAAAGATTAGGTGCTGATGGCAGACTCTTACTGCCTATTGAGCAGCAGGGGAACGGAGGAGCTAAGTCTAAAGGAGTGAGGAAATTCTCAACAGAAGGTACTCCAGAGCTTCTAACCTTGATACCTCAGGTGTGGTGAGCAATAGTGGATAGATTCGAGAAGTTGGAGCTATACTTCTTGGTGAGAAGGAGGCTGAGAGGAGTTCTGATACAGGTTTTATAAATTGTGGATGGGGCTGCTCAGAGTAGAGAGGGAGAAGCTGTTCCCACTCATAAAAGCAACAGGGATGAGAAAGTAGAATTAAATGGTTTACAAATGAAGAAAGGGTACCGTGAGTAAAGTGCTTTTTAGACAACCCAACGTACTGCCTGGGAATGTGATGGGGGCAGGTTTAATGGAGGCATTCAAGAGGGCATCGGATGGTTATTTGAATAAAAATGGTACAGGGAAAAAGGAAGAGACTGGCACTCGGTAATGATGCTCGTTTAACAAGCTGGTACAGGCACGGTGAGCTGGGTAGTTTCCTTTTGCACTATAACACCTTTGTGATTCTGTGATATTAAAATCAGGATGATCGGAAAGCCAGAATCAGAGAAATCAGATTATGTATCAACCTACCTCCTGCTAATTTTATAAAATCATAGATACATAGAAGATAGGAGCAGGAGGAGGCCATTCAGCCCTTCGAGCCTGCTCCACCATTCTTCATGAAATGGCTGTTTGTCCAACTCAATAGCCTAATCCTGCTTTCTCCCCATAACCTTTGATCCCACTCACCACATGTGTTATATCTAGTCAATGTTTTGGCATCAACTCCTTCCTGTGGTAATGAATTCCACAGGCTCACCACTCTTTGGTTGAAGAAATGCCACCTCATCTCTGGCCTAAATGGTCTACCCCGAATCCTCATACTGTGACCCTTGGTTCTGGACATACCCACCCTCTGGAACACCCTCCCTACATCTACCTTGTCCAGTCCTGTTACAGTTTTATAAGTCTCTATGAGTTTCCCCCTCATACGTCTGAACTCTAGTGAAAAAATTCCCAACCCAGTTAATCTCTCCTCATACGTCAGACCCACCATCCCTGGATATCTGATATGGGAAATTGCCTCCACTCTAACATATGTTTTCTAATATTTTGATGTGAACAATTTGACTTGTAAAGCAGCATTGCACTGTAAAGAGTGTGTAAAATTGCTCAATTGCCTCAGTTTAAATTTCCCATTATTTTGTTTTTTTTTCCCATGGCTTACAGGTTGAAACAAATGTTGCCAACATTCCCAAAGATCGTCAGGCTTCTGCAAGTATGGTGGCAGAGCCATATAGGACACAAGCAGGTTCAGTGAACTACTTACACATTAGCATTCAACAAACAGAGCTAAACCCTGGAACAGATCTATCAGTTCAACTCAATCTCCGAAATAATGATGTCGCAACCCAGAACAAGATAAACTACTTCACCTACATGGTATGTTCTCTGTTTGCCAAGTCATATCATCTTGTTTTAACGCTTATAAAAAGGTATTTTAAAGATCCTCTGTAAGAAAAATCAATGATGGAGGGGAGAAGAAGGTATTCTGCCCACTAAGACCATTCTTTCCATTGGGTGTGTCCTCTTCTCATGCATGGATTTTACTAACTTTTCATCTGCCCACGGTCAATTCAGTGAAAGTGTTTTTGTTAAAATTATCCAAATGTACCAGTTTGTTTTTACTGATGCAGGGTCAGCTGTGTTGATGCCCTCCTATTTGAGTTAATCCACCAGTACACAGTAAAGATGCTATAGTCCATCCGGATCATAGGGCTGCTGTCTTATTAGGGAGAGATGACTGATGGACGTTTAACCTGAGGGTCACCACATCTCCGGTGACGGGAGAAGTTGAGATGGAGAGTCCCTCATGGAACCTCAGCTGGTGCAGGAATTGAACCCACACTTTTGGTTTCACTCTGCATTGAAAACCGACTGTTCCAGCCAACTGAGCTAATCAATCCCTATCCGCCAGTACCAGTCAAGTGGTAACACCGTTGAAAATGGAGTGGGTTGAATATTGCTCTCATTGTCTTCACAGTAAGGATGATCCAATCTTCAAAACAGTCTAGGCTGGGAGGTTGATGTCTTTGGCTGAGTTAGACAGTGACCAGGCGCTGCACATTCTGGCCAGTTTAGGATCCAAAAGTAAACATTTCAGACCCTATTTGCCATTTTCGTACTTATGAGCAGAGTGTACATGGAACATTAGAACAGAGCAATAGAAGGAGAAACAAGCCTCAAGGCTGTTGCATCATTTAATGAGATCATGATTGATCTGTAGACTCACTCCATTCAGTCAGCTTGATCCATTACCCTTACCATGATTGTCCTCCAAAAATAAAACTGGATCTTAAATGATTAATTGAACCAACACCTATTGCTCCTTGTGGGAGAGTATTCTACATGTCATCTTTATACTTTGGGCAGCTCAATGATTAACACTGCTACCTCACAGCGCCAGGGACATGGCCTCAATTCCAGCTTTGGGCGACTGTCTGTGTGGAGTTTGCACGTTCTCCCTGTGTCTGCGCGGGTTTCCTCCGGGTACTCCGGTTTCCTCCCACAGTCCAAAGATGTGCAGGTTAGGGTGGATTGGCCGTGCTAAATTGCCCATAGTGTGCAGGCTGGGTGGGTTAGCCATGGGAAACGTGGTGTTATGGGGATGGAGTGTGGTTGTTTGTCTGCGTGGGATGCTCTTCAGAGGGTAGGTGCAGATTTGATGGGCTGGATGGCCTCTTTCCACACTGTAGGGATTCTATGATTCTGTTGGATCTGGGCATCACTGATAAGACTGGCATTTTTTGCAGATCCCTAAAAGTCTTGAACTGAGATGACTCAAGACTATGAGGAAAGAAAGTTCAATAACTTTCATCTTTGTTGTTTGTGGCATCTTCTGAGCATCTCATGGAAAGACAGAATCTGCTGCGCCTTTCAAAGGCAAAATTTGAAGATACATTATCACTCATAAACTCATAGAGATGTACAGCACAGAAACAAATGCTTTGTCCCAGCTTGTCCATGCCAACCAGATAACCTAAATTAATTTAGTCCCATTTGTCAGCATTTGGCCCATATTTCTCTAAACCCTTTCTATTCATATACCCAACCAGATGCCTTTTAAATGTTGTAATTATGACAACCTGTACCACTTCCTCTGGCAGCTCATTCCATATATGCACCACCCTCTGCGTGAAAATGTTTCTCCTTAGGTCACTTTTAAATCTTTCCCCTCTCACCTTAAACCTATGCCCTCTAGTTTTGGACTCCCCTACCCTGGGGAAAACGATCTTGACTATTCATCCTATCCATGCCCCGCATGATTTTATAAACCTCCATAAGGTCACCCTTCAGTCTCCAGCACTCCAGGGAAAATAGCCCCAGCCTATTCAGCCTCTCCGTACAGCTCAAACCCTCCAACCCTGGCAATGTCCTTGTAAATCTTTCTTGAACCTTTTTGAGTTTCACAACATCTTTCCTATAGCAGGGTGATCAGAATTGCACGCAGTATTCTAAAAGTGGCCCAACTGATGTCCTATATAGCTGCAGCATGACCTCTGTACTCACATGCTTAATGCACTAACCAATAAAGGCAAGCGTACCAAATGCCTTCTTCACTACCCTGTCTACCTGGAACTCCACTTTCAGGGAACTATGAACCTGCACCTCTAAGATGTCTTTGTTCGGCAATACACCCCAGGACCTTACCATTGAGTGTATAAGTCTTGCCCTGATTTGCCTTTCCAAAGTGCAGCACCTCACACTTATCTAAGTTAAACTCCATCTGTCATTTGCTCATCGGCCCATCTGATCAAGGCCCCATTGTACTCTGAGGTAACCTTTCTCAGTGTCCACTACACCACCAATTTTGGTGTCATCTGCAAACTTACTAACCATACCTCGTATGTTCACGCCCAAATCGTTTATATAAATGACAAAAAGCAGTGAACCCAGCACTGATCCTTGCGGCACACCACTGGTCACAGGCCTCCAGTCTGAAAAGCAACCCTCCACCACCCTCTGTCTTCTATCTTTGAGCCTGTTCTGTATCCACATGGCTAATTCTCCCTGAATTCCATGTGATCTAAGCTTGCCAACCATTCTACCATGAGGAACCTTGTCAAACACCTTACTTAAGTCCTTATAGACCATGTTCCCCGCTCTGCCCTCATCAATCCACTTCGTCACTTCCTCAAAAAACGCAATCAAGTTTGTGAGGTACGCGTTCCCACACACAAAAAGCCATGTTGACTATCCCTAATCAGTCCTTGCTTTTCCAAATACATGTAAATCCTGTCCCTCAAAATCCCCTCCCACAACTTGCCCACTACTGATGTCAGTCTCACCGGTCTACAGTTCCCTGGCTTTTCCTTACCCAATGAAACAAATATCTCAGCAAGGGGCCTAGCAATCACTTCCCTAGCTACCCACAGAGTTCTAGGGTACATCTGATCAGGTCCCGGGGATTTATCCACCTTGATGTGTTTTGAGACATCCAGCACCACCTCCTCTGCAATATGGACATTTTTCAAGATATTGCTATTTATTTTCCCAAATTCTCTAGCTTCCACTTCTCCACAGTAAACACTGATGCAAAATACTTGTCCAGTATCTCTCTCATTTCTTGCCGTTCCACACATAGGCGGGCTTGCTGATCTTTAAGGGGCCCTATTCTCTCCCCAGTTACCCTTTTGTCCTGAATGTATGTGTAGAATCCCTTTGCCTATTTGTCAAAGCTATCTCACTCAATGTGATTTTGCTGGCTCAGGTCCACTTAAGGTTGCAAGACAGTCACATTCCAAACAAACCTCTAGCTAGCAAGATACTCAGAGCCAGAAAACCAGTAAGATGCTCAAAGCTCCCCTACAAAGATGTCTGTATGCGTGACAAGCAGGCCTAAAACATCGATTTTCCCACTTGAGAGACAAGAATTGACGACAGAGGAAAATAGCAATATTGCCTGTAGGTCAGTGTGCATCATCATGCTGATCAGTGGTTTAGTAACAGGCATCAACACTGAAAACAGCAGATTCACAATGAAACTGATAACTGTTTCATTTTCAACATCTGTAAAAGAATCAGGCTGTTATTGATTGGCCTCTTGAGCCAGCCAATCATCGGATCAGCAGGAGGCCATTCAGTCCTCGAGCCTGTGCTGCCATTCAATGAGATCATAGCGAGTCTGTGGCCTCACTCCATATACCCTGCCTTTGGCCCATGTGTCTCCATGTCTTTGCTCAACAAAAATCTACTTCGCATTTAAAATCAACAACTGATTTAACACCGACTGTCTTTTGAGGAAGAGAGTTCCAAACATTTATCACCATCTGTGTGTAGACATGCTTGCTAACATCTCTCCTGAACAGTCTGGTCATAATTCTCAGACTGTGCCCCCTCAGTTCTAGAATCCCCAACCAGTGGAAATAACTTATCTTTATCCACGTTGCCTTTTCCTGTTAATATCTTGAAGACTTCGATCAGACCACCCCTTTAACCTCCTAAATTCTGGAGAAAAATCATGCCCAATTTGTGTGATCTCTCCTCACAACTTAACTCTTGATTTCCTTGAGGACAGCTATTAGACACCCCTGTGCTTCAGGAAAAGTGTTTTTAAAGTCAGGTCAGTCAAGGAAGTTACTATCAAGAGGGAAACAGAACATCAGCTTGTCGGCTAACTTGCAGAGTCTCAAGCATTGATTGCTTCACTATCAACATCAGTGTTACCAGTGTAGCAGCTGCAACATCCCTCCTTTAGTTGTCGCTGAACCAAGAGACTGATTCATAAATTATTCTTCCTGATCTTTTTACTCAACTCCATTTCTAATCCGTGTGTGTGTATGTGTGTCTTTCTGTGGGTGTGCGTGTGTGTGTCACATTTTATTACCTTTTCTCACTTTTAGTAGCTGATAAACTCCCCCTTTCCTTAACTGGATCATTTGTCTCCTTTTACACATAAATACATTTACAAAAGTGTGCCAGGGGAACCTTTTCAAATTAACCTTGTTGCGACCAACCAAGAAAGGGGTTGAGTGAAGGAGTTCATCCTTCCTCAGCCAGGAGCTTAATCATTTGGGGGGGGAATGGTTTCTCTCTGAGGTTCTAACTGACTGGGGGCCTTCATCTGGAGGACAATCATAACATTCTTCACAAATGCTGCCTGCCTTCCTCAGCTTCCAGCATTAGCTGTTTTTATTTCTGATACAGGCTGGGACATTGCAGCAAAGTATTGAGTTAGTTATGTCAGACAGGGACAATTGGAATTCTGATATTTTGCGGGGAATATTATTGTCACGTAAACATCTTGCTGTCATTTTTCAGCATTTTCAAAATCTTTGCTCTGTTCAATAAAGTAACTACGTCCGTAACTTGACCTGCTTGTCCTCAGTTCTTTGCTGCAAAAGGCATTTCTACCCATTAACCTTCCATTGACACTTGGAATTAAAAAAAAGGGAATATAATGTTTATAGTTGTGATTAAGATGTTTTACTGATGAGTGTACTGCTTACTTTCTCTATTACATCAGCTGTGATCATCGAAATTTATCGAAGATCCTTTCCTCCATGAATGTATTGATAAATCTTCACATTTGTTTGTTCGACTTAGTTACTTAAGTTATTTTCTGTTTCTTTTTATTCTCTTTGACCAGGTAATAAGTAAAGGAAAGATAGTGAAAGTTGGACAACAATTAAGAGAGAAGGATCAAATCACAACGATATTGCAAATTCTAGTCACCCCCAACTTAATTCCGTCCTTCAGGCTGCTAGTCTATTACTATTTGACAAATGGATTAACAGTAGAAATGGTTGCAGATTCTGTATGGGTTGACGTGAAAGACACATGCATGGGAAGAGTAAGTATTCTGGTTTCGTATTTGTTTGGGGTAGGAATCAGTGCAACATCTGTGCTCTACACTCCAGTGCTGGGAGGTTGGATAAAATCAGAAAACAGGAAGTAATCATATAAAATTGAACTGCAGCTGCTGAAGTTCTGAACCAGAAACAAAAATGGCTGAGGAAAAGGCCGGGAGTTCGAGCCCGCGCCGAGGCCGGGAGTTTGCACTGGCTTTAACCCCAGTAGTCGCAGATGCCATTCAAAGGATGGGACGTAAAAGAAACAAAAACACAAAAAGAGAGAGCAATAACAGAAAAGAAATGGACAAAGTGGGTGAGGTCTGGTTTTGGACTGCTACTGAACCATCATCTTGTGATCTTATTGAATGGCAGAACAGGCTATAGAATTATAAGTCATGACATTATTATTATGTATTATTAAGTAGTGTTGTCCTGAAAGTAGTAAGTTTCATGGCATAATAAGATAAATACTTGATGGCAAATGTTTACAAGGCCAGGGGTTAGACTGGGACGAATTGGATAATTCTTACAAATGAATAAAGCTGATTGACCTCCTTCTATGGTATTTCATTCTTTGCTTGTATAAATTTAGTGTTCCAAATTTCTCATTTCATCAGCGATGAGCTGCGCCACTCAAAAGTAATTTGATATTTATGACTATTTCAGACTGACATACATTTCTTCACAGCTGATAGTGTCTGCTGCAAATAAGGATGAAGAAAATAGGATTTACAGACCTCGCAATAAGTTTGAACTGAAAATCACAGGTGACTCTGGGGCAACTGTTGGCTTTGCTGCTGTGGATAAAGCTGTGTTCGCGCTGAATAAGAAAAATAAGCTAACACAGAGTAAGGCAAGTAATTCCTAATGTTTTTTTAAGCTTTTAGGTTGAGACACATCTGCTAGGAGTTCATAATGGATGAAAACTAGTTATGTTTTTGTTTCTTGGCTAATGGGTTCAAAGACCATTGCTCTCCATTTATTTAAATGAAAATGGTTGGCAAATGGACAGGTGGTTTTGGGACCTTGGCAAGAACTAAGAATTTCAGGAAGGATGTGGAGAACAGAAGATAATAGGGCCTGGGGTTAGGATGGGTAAATGCAGACCGAGAGTGAGCATTCTGGTGGCACCAACCATTGGGTGAGAACGTGTGAGGGAAGAAGCCAAGATTTATTGCAATTTATTTTGGTTCTCAACAGAACCGGTGCATGTCAAAACTCTGCAGTGTATCCTTTAGAGAAGTACAGAGGGTTTCAGGAGGGAATGATATGTTCCGTTACTTCCATTGGCTTTGAGAATGTGCTACAGTTTCAATGATGTACTTTGCTTGGGGCTTTTAATCGATGAAGTGACTGAGTTAGCATTAATTGTGTTGTAATTCATTGTACATACAACTCTTCCTCATGGTTCCATTGAGGAAACCTTCAGGCTATACTCTGAAAGGCACAGGTCTGAATATTGTCCATGACAGACAGGGTCCCTGCCCTAACCAACTTGGTGCCAGAGATTTGAATCTCAAATACCAGCCCTCAAAACGGTCATTTCCAGTGGGGGTAGAAGGTGGGAGGGCTGAAGGGAGGCAGGTGAAGTTGGGTGGCAGCTTGTAGCTTGCACATTCATGGTTCACAGAGACACCTTAACAACCCCTTGAGGTCTTTACGTTGAGCTTCCCAAAGAAAATCTCATTTTATCAGGTCAACATGAAGGTGGGTGGGGGCAGACTTTGTGAGGGGAGGAGGGTTTGAGGGTGTGCTCAGAGCAACAGAGATCTTTGTTACATGTGATGTCAATGGTAGCCCAAAGCAGACCTCCCCTAAAGATTTATTGTGGGGCAGGCTTTTGAGGACATGGTGGCATTGGCCCTCTCTGTTACCTCCTGTAATCACTGTATATCGCCTCCTGTTAGAATATTTTCGCTGTTCATTTGAGATTTCCAATATCTGCTGTATTCTTTCCTCATTTTGGGGAAATGGAAGTGTTTGGACATGAATTGGCGGATGGTATTTTTGCTCCATCACTGACTCTCCAACCGGAGAGAAGCGGGGGGCAGTAACAACATCACCTTGTTAATCCGGTCTGGTTCACGTAGCGGCTTTGTGTGTATTTCCTGCAGATCTGGGACATTGTGGAGAAGAATGACATTGGCTGCACGCCTGGAAGTGGCAGTGATGTTCTTGGTGTTTTCACAGATGCAGGACTAACAATTGTAACAAACAGCAACCTCAAGACGGCTACAAGAACAGGTACTGTTTCCGGGAAGCTGAATTAACTTCTGCAACTCGTAAAGGCGATATTGAAATTCTATTTACAGCAATAACTTGTGGTAGAGGATGAATGAGATAATGGTTTAGTGCACAGTGCCGGAACTGTGCTGAAGTCTTGTTCAGCTTGACAATACACATCTACATTGCATTTATTGCAGCTCGTTTGTGACTTTAATCTGCAGCATTTTCTGTTGATACATTCTCCTATTAATTCGCTAGGCCATGATGCATGCAGTTATGTTTGTAGGATTCAGAATGTGAATAAGTTTTAAACTACAGGGTGACAACTATTATCTTAACATGTGTTTTTCTCAAACATCTATTACAGAGCTGAAGTGCAAACAGCCAATGAAACGCAAACGTCGTTCAACGAGATTAATGGACATTAAAGCTGCTAAATGTATGTGTTTGTGTTTGAAGAGAGAGTGCATTGTGATATAAGACATTTGTAAAAGGGTTATTTTCATGGCATGTTTTGTTTTAACATGTAATGTTGCCCCAACTAAAATGTTACCCTGATGCAGCTGTATAATTAATTGGTGTCAGACTTTCTTCCTCTGTAAAACAAAGCTGGAATAACTTATCGTAGTGCAGAAGAAGGTCATTCAGCCCATCAAGTTGGGTGGTACAGTGGCTCAGTGGTTATCACTGCAGCCTCACAGCATCAGGGATCCCGGTTCAATTCCAGCCTCAGGCAACTGTCTGTGTGGAATTTCCACATTCTCCCTGTGTCTGCATGGGTTTGCTCTGGTTTCCTCCCACAGTCCAAAGATTTGCAGGCCAGGTGGATTGTCTGTGCTAAATTGCCCCATAGTGTCCAGGCTATGTGGCAGTAAATGTGGGTTTACAGGGATAGAGTGGGATGCTCTGGAGGGTCTGTGTAGACTCGATGGGCCAATTGGCCTCTATTGGCACTGTGGGGATTCTATGAAGTCTCCCCTGAAACTCTGAAGAGTACCCCACCCTATCCCCACTGTTAGCATGGCTAATCAACCTAACCTGCACACGACAGGGCAATTTAGCATGGCCAAATCAACTAATCTTTGGACTGTGGGAGGAAACCCATGCAGACACCACAGCAGTGCCCAGGGATAGGTGGATTAACAATGGTGAATGTGGGATTACAAGGATTGGGTTTGGGTGGATGCTTTTGAGAAGATTGGTACAGCCTTGGTGGCTTGGATGGCCTTTATCTGCACTGTAAGGATTCTATGAAGTGCAGGTAAATTGCTGCATCACCTGGAGGGTGTATTTGGAGCCTTAGACAGTGAGAAGGGAGGGAGTAAATGGGCAGGTGTCACACCTTAACATGGGGGCATGGGGAAGTGTTGGGGATGGAGGAGGAGCAGACCAAGGTGTCCTGGAGGGATGGGTCCCTGTGGAAGGATGACATGGGAGGGGAGAGGAATATGTGTCTGTTGGTGGCATCCCACTGGACGTGGCAGGAATGGCAGCTTTGTGATCTTTTGGATGTGGATGTTGGTGGGATGAGGACAGGGGCACCCTGTCACTGTTGTGTGGGCTGGGGGGACGAGAAGAAGTGAGGGCAGAATGGGGGAGTTGGATTGGACACAGCTAAGGGCCCTGTCAACCAGGATAGAAAGGATTCAGCGATTGAGGAAAAAGACGGACATTTTTGAGGCCTTCTTTCACAGGGGGAAGCAGGCTTTTCCCTCCTCACTATCCAAAGTCCCAGGCATACCTTCCAGGGAAACAGCGATTTAACTGCATTGTTCTCAATCTAGTCTGCTGTATTCACTGTTCACAATGTGGCCTCCTCTATACTGGGGAGATGGAACGCAGACTGGGCAACTGCTTTGAAGAACACCTACATGCGGTCCACAAAAATGGTCCTGAGCTTCTAGTTGTCTGTCACTTCAACACATGACCGTGTTACCATGCCAATATCTCTGTCTCGGGCGTGCTGTTGTGTTCCAGTGCAAACTCAAAGAACAACATCTCATGTTCTGCTTGGGCACCCTGCAGCCTCTGGGACTCAATATTGAGTTCATTAACTTTAGAGCCTGATTCCATCCTTTCACCCGGGCCTGATATCTCACGGGTTGCTTTTAGCACAGCCAACCCAAACTTACCCACTCTCAGTCTTATTATGTCAGAAATCACACGACACCAGGTTATAGTCCGAGACAACAAGGTGCAGGGCTGGATGAACACAGCAGGCCAAGCAGCATCATAGGAGCAGAGAGGCTGACGTTTCGGGCCTAGACCCTTCATCAGAAAAGGGGGAGGGGAAGGGGGTTCTGAAATAAATAG